GTGTGCATGTGTGTGGTGTATGTATCTGTGTGTGTGCATGTGTGTAGCGTGTGTGCATGTGTGTGGTGTATCTGTGTGTGTGCATGTGTGTAGCGTGTGTGCATGTGTGTGATGTATGTATCTGTGTATGTGTGTGTATGTGTGTGTGTATGTATGTGTGTGTATGTATGTGCTTGCATGTATGTGGTGTATGTGTGTGTGTGTGCATGTATGTGGTATATGTTTGTGCATCTATGCATGCATGTGTGCGTGTGTGTGATGTGTACAAGGCACTCCTGGCTGGAAGAGGGAATATATCATGTGCTAGAGTAGGTGAGTAAAGGTCTTTGGGGAAGGGTTATTTGATTAGACTCACTGGATACATACTAATCACCCTAGCATTACCCTGCTGTTTAGAATGGGTCTCAGGTCTTCATCAAGTGTCCTGAACCAGCCATCTTTCCCCCACCTTAGGTCCCTTGTAGCACAGCATAAGCCCTCCGCTCTGTAAGCCACACTTATCCCCCATCCCCTAACTGTGACGCATTATGGCCACTAGTAGCAAACAACCCATTACAGCATTCTTCCAGCTACTCAGTGTCTCACTTATGACCTCCTCACCCTCCTAACCGGCTTCCAAGCTCCCTATAGAAAGACAGTGTGATAAGGTATGTGCTGGCCAAAGACTACCAATCTTCGATGTGCCAGTAATGTGCCAGTACCACTTCAGACTGAGGATGGGCAGCGTGGTTCTACTCCTGGCTCTGCTGCTTCTCGCCTTCATGACTGTGGGTCTGAGAATTTAATGGCAATACAAAAGAGACAAATATAACGCTACACACGATGTGGACACACCAGAAATGGTCATTATTATTCAGCATGGAAGTTGTTCCCAGGCTCAGAGACAGACACTGTGGGAGATGTCTGCTTCTCTACATTTCCATCAGACATCTAGACCTGTCTATGACAAGTTTTCACACTGCTGCTGCTATGAGCTAAACTGTGTCCCTCAAATGCATATGTTAGCTGGAAGTGGCAGCTTACATTTGTAATCTCCCCACTTGGGAGGTTGACGTAAGGGGATTGTCAGTTTGGGCAAGAAAGTGAGATCCTGTCTCAAAAAATAAAATAAAAGTTAGTTTACTGAAACTTTACCATTACCTCATAATGTGACTGGATTTGGGATAGGGCTTCTCCTAATGATAATTCAGGTAAACTGAGGTGCTGGTGAGCCCCGATCCCATAGGATCAGTGTTCATTGGAAGAAGAGAGAATCAGTATACAGCTCTGTGCATACACAGGGGAGGGACCATGTGAAGACACAGAGAGGGCCATCTCCAGCCAAAGAGAGAGGGTCCAAGATGAAACCAATCCTGTGTCAACCATATTCTTGGCCCACCAGCCTTATGGCTGACTTACACAGCCAGCCTCTTCAGGTTTCAGGCACCATCTCCCTGTCTCTTTAGTAACTGTGTCCTGCTAGTGGCAGGACATGGCACTCTTCGCTAAGGGTTTCCTAAAACCTACCCAAACCTTTATGCTGCTGTTGCGGTGGTTGTTTTAATTAAATTCTCCTTAAATGCCTCTTGGCTTCTTTTCACTAAGAGGATCCCAGTGTGTCCGGTGTAACACACAGCTGTTCACGGACACAGGCTTCTACAGTTTAAGAGTCAAGGGTACGTTTAAATCCTCCCACCCCCTGAACTGTCCTGATTAGAGGCTTTTAAAGGTGAAAACAGTGGCCGTTCTCCAGGGGCAGTCAGAATTCATGTTTATATTTGGAGAAGAGAAACAGTAAGCTCTTGTACACTGCCTCATGTCTTGTGGCTTTTTAAGTCACAATTGCCCTACCTCTGTCTTATTCTAGAACTGAGAAAGTGACACGTTAGTCTAGAGAGCTGCGAAGTTGTATTACATAAATTGTAGGCATCTCTTTAAAACTTTAGGTACATCTTTTTTTTTTTTTTTAATGTATTATAGGAAAAAGAAAAAACTCAAAAACTATTAAACAGTCAGGCAGTGGTAGCACACACCTTTCACCCCAGCACTTGGGAGGCAGAGGCAGGTGGATTTCTGAGTTCAAGGCCAGCCTGGTCTACAGAGTGAGTTCCAGGACAGCCAGGGCTACACAGAGAAACCCTGTCTTGAAAAACGAACCAACCAAAACAAAATCCAAAACTATTAAGCAATGCTAAGTAATGTCTTTATCCTCTGACATCCCTACTTTACGATTTTTCACCCCTCTCTGGAATCCACTGCTGCTGAGTGCCTAGGAGAGGCTTCTGGGAAAGAAGGAAGCTCAACGCTTGAGGAAAGTCAATCGTCTGAGTAACAACCTGTGGTATTTTGTTTATTCTAAGGAAGAGAGTCCATGGCTTTAAGCTGTGCTGTCTCAGGGGTTAGCAGGGAGACAGAAAGATTATGTGCTTGAGAAGTTTTGGACCAAGATTACAGTAGACCTACCAGAGTGAATTAGAGTCATCTCCCAGACCTACCAGTACAGAACAGAGGGGTCTGGTTTAGCTACCTCGGTGACATTGCAGCCTCCATACTATAGGAAGGACATTGGTGGCTATGGCTGGTGAGAAGGGGGAGGGGAAAGGAAAGCCAGGCCTTTCCGTTAGTTGGAGCCAGCAGGACCCACGCTGGGAATTACCACTATTATGGATTTGGGGAGGAAAAATGTTGGAGACTTTGGGTAGTTTACACTGTGGTGGAATACTTGTCTAGTATGAATGAGTGAGGCTCTGGCCTTGACTCCCAGCATCAAAGAAATAGATAGATACTTAGAAAACAATTATGTAAATTCTTAAGCATTTAGTTCATAATCACATAAATAATAAAACATTGTTTAAACATCAACAACTATTCATACTTTTTTACTATTGTTGTTGTTGTGTTCAACTGAACTGTTCAGTTCTTCCCTTTGAATCAAGTACTTACCGCAGTTTGGAAGCCATTCACCAACAGAAAGTTCACAAATTTCACCACCTCCATGGCTGTGTCCAAAGAATAGGTGATGAAGACTTTCCCTGAGAGAAAATGTTCAGTTGTTGAAAGGATCAAATTATTCTTTTCTACATAGCCGTTCTAAGTAGTATGCATTGCTGTTGTGTTGGAGGGTGGTCCGAGGGCCTATGCCTGTAGTGGTGAGGGTTGTTGTCCTATGTGACAAGGGCTGGGAGCTGTCCAAGGGGTACATGTTGTCCAGAGTGAACAAAAGACAGAAGGGACAGAGGAGAGTAAGGGCAGGCCCGGACAAGCCTGAGAGAGAGGTCTTGTGGACTGCCACAGGAGATGTTACCACCCACAGCCCGCACGTCCTTCAGTCCTTCAGCTCAAGCCACTGCCTTGTTTCTTGGAGACACTTGGCCCTGTGCCCAGGGAAACTACTCTCACAGCAGGCTAAGAAGCTAAGACTTGCTAAGGGGCCACCCAGCAGTGTCTGCTTTTGATCTCATGATGCTCTCTGCTGCCCTGAACTTTTGCCTGACAAGACCAAGTAGGGGGTGGGCAAGAAAGTGTTCCTTGCCCTGCCCCCTTCGGCTCACTTTGGAGAGAGGTCAGGAAGCAGGAGTAGTCTGATGCCCAGATCAGAAATGTGCATGCAGCTTCAGCAGCTTAGGGGGAGACAGTGCCTCAGGGCAGTTCAGTGTCGTAGGCGTCCTCTTCCCTGACAAGCCAGCAAGGAGCCATAGACAGAACTGTTCGGACAAGCTTGCCCTACCCAGCCAGAACCGCTCTTTTCTCAGACTAAATAAAGTACTGGGGAAATTTCTTCACTAGCAGTTTGCTGTGGTAGATGAATAATCTCTACATGTTGCCTTTTAGTGTGGAATGAACCAGTTAAATCTCAAGAAACCCCGAGGCAAAGGATGCAGAAGAGAAGCCGAGTCTGTGCATTTATCTGTGCTTAGACTTCTCCGAATGGGAACGCAGCTCTGAAATGAAAGCCTGTGCTGTGTGATGTGGAAGTAGCCACAGGCAGGCGGATGGCCAGGGCTTGAGCCTCTTCCACCCCCATGTGTACTGATTTTAGGACTCCCTTCCCGGATAAGATGACAGGATATTGGGACCATACACAGTGTACGCCCCTGTCTGTCCACTCAGATATTTTGTTTAATTGAAGTGTGTATGATTTTAAGGTGCTCAGAAACAGAACTTTTACAGGCAAACCATAGTCATCATGGTCATAGAAGTCTTTCAGAGCTGGAAGTAACTTCAAGTAGAGATTCAACAAAAGCAATTAGGAAGACAAAGTCCCGAGGCTTGGTTCTGAGTGTCCCAGTTTTGGAAGAGGGAGCCTCTCTAGCAGATAATAATTCATAAGTCATGACTGATTGCTTAAGGTTCCTGGGACTAAGAATCCTAGCTGGCCTCACTCTCAGAACATTCTGGTGATATTCCAGCATTTCTGGTTCTAGCAGCAAAATGTGGGGAACGAATCACTGCCTGACCCTGAATGGGATATTTCTTTAAATAAAACTAAATTTCTTTAGTTCACCTGGGAGTGCGAAGCAGTATGGGCAATCTGAGACAGGTTTTGTTTTTGTTTTTGTTTTTTTCAAACAAGACTGTTCACTCCTGTAGAAAATGACCTTGCTCTTGAGAGCTGCTGCTAATTTACAGTGAGACACTAGGTTTCCACCCAGGACCACACGAGCCACCACCCCATCTACTGAGGAGCATTATCCAGGAGGAAAGGAGGATGGGTGGTGTTTGTTGTTTCCTGTGTGTTAAGGAAAAAGCAAGTGGTAAGCAGTTTGGGAGCATTGCTTCTGAGCTTAGGGTCACTGAAAAAGGGGAAAGGTAAATTTTACTATATACATAAAACATAGCTGAGATTTTGGACGAGTGACTAAGCCAAACTCTCTGAACATGAAACCCGACAAGAAGAAACCACGATGCAAACAACTTACGTAATTCCTCTGGCAAATTGCTGGTTTTTAGAGTTCCTCGGGCTAAGGGGTGGCTAGGGGGTCTAGGCACAGCAGCTGGGGATGGAGCCTGGGGACCATGTGGTCTCAGCTCTGCAGGACGGTCCAAGGACTCCTCAGGAGCTCCAGCTCCGTTAGCCAGAGGGTGGTAGAGCTGGTCCCTGCAAGGGGATATGTTTACAGCAAGGTTTTATCTTCATCACAAAGAAAGTTTGGGGAGACAGAAAAACTTTACAAACTGTAGGACCATTCCAATGCATGATCTCCCCTCTGCCTCCACTGCTTATTCCACACAGATGGAAGAAGGGGGGGAGGTCCCTCGGAGTTTCCTTTATAAAAAAAACCAAGCCAGCTGGCTCCCATATGTGGGGACCTGTGCTAGGGGTCAAAAGAGGGACGCGGATTTGATTTCTCTATTCAAGGTCTGTCTAATTGGGAAAATAAATCCCATGTACAGGTCAGACAAGGTCACCAGAAAAACAAAATGGCATGATGAGTGACATAGAAAGGTAATATTAAAGGCATTCAGACAAAAAGGACACTTCTAGTTCATGATAGATAACATTTGATTATGTTTCAAAAGTCTTTCTTTCCTTTTTTCTTTCTTTTTCTTTTCTTTTTTATTGCTATGTAGGTTTAAAAGCATTTCTTTTGGTAACAAGGATGGCTCAAGGGAGGGACGCATGAATCTTACTGAGAAGGGGAAACTGAAAAGATATCTTAAGTAGATGTGGAAAGGGGACTGAACAGGGGTGGGGACAGGGACAGGAGGGATCTGGTGGGAGGACAGAGGACTAGAAGAAACAACTTGAAGAACGTGGGAGCCCATCTCTGGGGTGAGCTAGGGCAATAGAAACCCCCAGGAATAGACGAGGGTGACTCTAGCTACGACTCCTAGCAATGGAGGACATGGATCCTGAACAGACAATCTCCTGTAACCAGGCAAGGCTTCCAGTGGAGAGATTGGGACGCCAGCCCAGCCACAAAACCCTCAAGGTACCATTTGTCCTGCCTATAAGACGTGCTGGGATAAAGGTGGCACAGATATTGTGGGAGTGGCCAACCAATGACTGGTCCAGATTGAGACCCATGCCATGAGAGGGATCCTACCCCTGAGATTGCTCAGAAGGCCAGGAGCCATAGGTTGGATAGCTCAGAGACCCATGTTAGAACCAAACACAAATGGGGGGGAAAAGTCCAAGAAATGATTCCTAGACATACCAGTTATCATCAGAGAGGCTTCACCTAACAACTGATGGAAACAGATGCAGAGACACAGCCAGACATTAGATGGAATTCGGAAAATCTGGGAAGCAGGGGGGGGTTGTAGGGGACAGAGGGGTTAAGTATGCCACAACCCCCCACAGAATCCACTAACCTGGCTCTCAGAGATTGAACCACCAACCAGGGAGCCTGCATGGGACTCACCTAGGCCCTTCACACATGTTACAGTTCCATAGCTTGGTTTCCTTGTGGGGCTCCTAACAGTGGGAGCAGAGCTGTCCCTCAGACGCTGTTGCCTGCCTTGGGGACCTTCTCCTACTACCTGGTTGTCTTGTCTAGCCTTAAAAGAAGAGGATGTGGTTTTCTGCAACTTGACCTGGCATGGCATGTTGATATCCAGAGGCTGGCCCTTTTCTGAAGAGAAATGAGAGAAGTGGACTGGGGGGAGGGGAGAGATGGGGGAGGGTTGGGAGGAGAAACTGGTGCTGGGGATGTAAAACTAATAAAAATTTTTAAAAAGTATTTCTTTTGTTACTCTGTAAGTGAAAAATCTGACTGGTGACGTGGCATATCCATTATTTTGCCCGCCTTCATTCCTGTGAGTGTTCTGCTGAGGGGAAAAACAACCAAGCCCTCCTTTGTGAACTTTAGAAAACAACAGAAAGGCAGGCATTGTTTCTGCAGCTTCTCTGATTTCTACTGGCAAACAGTCACAGGTACTTTGCAGAGAACTCAGCCTCCCTGAATGTTAAAGACAGGGGTGGCATCTCTCTTTTGCCACTGCAGCTCTAGCAGGTAGAGAGGGTCCTGCCCTCTGCATCAGTAGCAGTAGTGCTGGAGGAGGAGGAGGAGGAGGAGGAGGAGGAGGAGGAGGAGGAGGAAGAAGAAGAGGAGGAAGAGGCGGCTCCATTCCCTGGACCATTTTCTGACCCTCCTCAAGCCTCCAATTTTATAAGCAGTCCCTGATGTCCTATATTAAATCCCCTCTGCCTAAGCTAGCTGCGAGTGAGCAGGTCAGGCAGGTGCAGCTGCGAAGGCACGCGCTGTCAAGGCTGGTGACTCAGGTGGATCCCTGGGCCCCATGGTGGAAGGAGAAGAATAAGGGGAAAGGAAAAGATACTTCCAGCTAGAATGATGTCTCCTTCCTGTAGCTTACTTCTCATATGGATATTAAAACTATACCTATAATGTTTTGCTTCCTTTTAAAACTCAGAAGGAGAATGAGACCATGGTTGTCATTTGTTCTATATTTTCTATAGTTTCATATTGTAAAATTTTAATGTTATGATTATAAGTCTGTGAATGTCTAAGTTTAATAGGTTTTTGTTTATGTTTTTAACCCGGAAGTAATTTAAAGGTTCTTAAAGTCTTATGTAATATTAGAACTTAAAAAAAATCACAAAATCTCAACTCCACGAGAACGTTTAGGGAAGTTGTTTATCTTATGTTTTCATAAATATTGAGCAAATGAGGCCTCTAAAATATACTTTCAGCTACTAGAGATTCATTTCCATATTATTTACATAAATCTTTTTATACACAAAGTTGTTTTATTGCTACAAAAGATGATTACTGGTTTGATAAAGCGATATTAAGGCCTTGATAATTAATACTGGTTAGTTTTATCTCAACTTGGCCTAAAGTGGAGTTACCTGAAAGTAGGGACCCTTAAATAAGAAAATGCGTTCGTAAGATCTGGCTGTAACGCATTTTCTTAATTAGTGATTGATAGGAGGGCCCAGCCCACTGTGGGCGGAGCCATCCCTGGGCAGGTGGTCCTGGGTTCTCTAAGAAAGCAGATCGAGCAAACCATGGGGAGCAAGCCAGTGAGCAGCACTCCTCCATGGCCTAGGCCTCAGCTCCTGCCTCCAGGTTCCTGCCCTGTGTGAGGTCCTGTCCTGAGTCCTTTGATGATGAACTTCCTTTGAAGGATATGGAAGTGTAAGCCAAATAAACTCTTTCCTCCCCAACTTGCTTTGGTTATGGTGTTTTATTGCAGAAATAGTAATCATAACTAAAACAATAATGTTCAAAAACTTTCATATATCACGAGATTAGTAAGAGTAAGCTGGTATGAAAGTTCCCCTTCCAATTAGTGGTAGAATTAGCTCCTTAGCTGAACACCCTCTGTTACACTGAAATGTAACTCAAGGGTATAGAACAGGCTTAAGTTGATGCTTGACATAGTCCCTTTCAATTTCCCTATAAATCTAAATGTTTCTTTTCAAAAGAAAGGTTTATTTTAGGACTGGGTATGGTGACTTACATCTAATCCCAGCACTCAAGGCTAGAGACAGATGCCGGTAAATCTCAGAGTTCAAGGCTAGCCTGGTATACAAAGAGAACTCGAGGACAGCCAGTGCTACACAGAGAAACCCAGTCTCAACAAAAAACAAACAAACAAACAAATGAAAACACAAACAGCAAGACAAAAGAAATTAAGTCCAAAGTTTGTCACAGTGGCGCGTGCTGTTTGTGAGGGTGACTCAGGAGCGTGAGTTTGAAACCAACAACGGCAACATAGTGAGATTGAAGACAGGATAAACTACAGTGTTAGCACCCGTATAAAAATGAATTGATTTTAAAAAGAAAAGGGGTAAGGAGAACTTGCTTCTTCATTGATTGGTCCCTCATCATCCATACATCTTTCCCTCCACCTCATACTCCTGCTGTGATCTGTCCACCATGATGCTGTCAGAGCCAAGATGGGCCTTTGGAACTTTGAACTAATGAAATAAACTTTTATTAAGTCCTCAGCTTCAAATACCTTGTTATAGCAACGGAAAACAGACCAAAGCAAAGGGTCAGACAGCACTTTGAAAACCAGCATTGTTTTTCTAGAAGAGGCATAAGAGAGGTCAGCTTGTATGGATGGTCTTGTTACAAAAGAAAATAACAAGAAGCCAGACAGTGTCATGCAGAAGGAGGGCCCTGTCAACTACTTTCTACTGTGCTCACACTGGGCATCTCACCGTGTGGCTGTGCTGACCGGGGACGGGCTACAGAGACCCTCCACATGCTTTTCATGTCAGAATGTGGGGGTGGGGTGGGTCTTGCCGTTCTCATACCTTGGGAACCTCAGGAAAGAGAAGTCTCTCTGTGCAGGCCTCTCTTCTTGGTCCTGGGGGCTGGAGTCATTCAGGATGACCTGCTGCACAGGGCGCAGGCCTCTCACCCTTGCCCCAGGAAGGGCCTGCCCAGGCAGAGCAGGCTGGATGACTTGCTGGTAGGCTGCTGCTGGAGGGTAGCCATGACCATCTGTGAACACAAGAGTAGCAGCGGTGGGGTGGATTCCAGCTCCTTCATGCGAAAGACCATGCAAGCCCACTGAACAGCTTTCTCCTGATAGCAACTGAAGGGTCCAGAGAGCGACCGCCTCCATAGTATTTGTCATATTCCTGTACTGCTAATTACTTTATAGTAGTCACAAAACTGGTGCACTCTTTTTCTATATAAAAACATCTGTGAAATCACATGTTTGACATTCTAACTAGAAAACACACACACACACACACACACACACACACACACACACACACACAAAATAAGTCATGTTCTAATAAAATACTTAAGATAATCCCACCATGAAGAGCCTCTCTGGCTCACTGTCCCTCCCATGATTCCCCTATATCTAGGACCTAGGGCAAGAAGACAGTATCCTTGAGATACTGGGAGTAGATCTCTGTGAATTCAAGGCCAGCCTGCTCTACATACTGATTCCCTGTCTCAAAACCAATCAAACAACAACAAAATTACTGTGCTCCCCACCACTAAGCGCTCGCTCTCTCTCTCTCTCTCTCTCTCTCTCTCTCTCTCTC